CCGCAGGCGCCTCCTCCCCCACCCTGCCTCCGCACCCACGGGCGGATGCCCAGGCTAGCACTCAGCCTCTGGGTGAGCCTCCCCCACTTCCCATGGTTTAGAAAAGTTTCATTTCAACCCAAGATTTCTGGCAGCTCAGGAATAGGCTGACCCAGCACCCGGGGTCTCGCGGGAAGGCCTAGCTAGCTCCCACCTGCCCGGACTTCCGGCTCTCGGGTCACAAACACCCCTCTGCCCCCACCGCCCCCCAACCCCCTTTCCGCAGAGTCCGTAAGCGCGTCCTGTCCACGAGGCGCCCGGCTGGGAGCGGCCGCCACGAAGGCTGCGACGCTCGGAGCAACCGCACGAGGGCGCTGTCGGCCTATTTCCTGGCGGGAAACCGGTTTCTGCAAAACCAGAATTCTCAGACCGAGGGGTGAACGTGGAAAGAGTCTTGCCAACGCCCCCTTTCCGTTTCAGGACTTATCTCTGTCTGAGTGTTGGCCCCAGCTGGGTATCTGCCTCCGCCCGCCCTCAGGGGTCTTTCTCAATGGAGAGAGCCGACAGAGCCCTCTGGGGAGCCCCCAGCCTCCAGGGAGGAGGCTCTGGCTTTGGAGGCCGTGTGACCTGACCCCCGCCCACCTGCCATGCCCCCTTCGCACTGTATTTTTTTTTTTTAAGATTTACTTATTTATGCAGACAGAACTGGAGTACAAGGCAGAGGCGCAGGGGCAGCGAGGGGCTTCACTAGGGACAGAGTGGGGAGCAGAACATGCAGATCACGAAGTCCACTGCTGAGGGGAGCAGCGGGCGGGTCAGGAGAGGTCTGCCGCGCCCTGTGGTCACCTCTGGGGTGGGTGTTTTTTGTTCTCATGCAGAGGTGGCTTTAGCTTGTCAGTGCTGTGCTTTAACCCGCTGCGCCTCCAGGGAGGGCCTGACGACTTTTTTAATGCCAGACCACAGTGCCTTTGCACTGCTGAGCTCGCCGCTTGCAGCGCCCTTTCCACCTCTGCACCAGCGTCCCAAGGATGGCGTCCTGGGGATCCTTCCGCTCAGAAGGCCCCTCCCACCTCTATTGCCGCGATCGGGAGTTTGAGGGAGCAGGACGCCCAGAAAAGGATCTGAGCCCTGCGAATTTTCAGCGCTGACACGCGTTAAGCAAATATTGACAGAGACATTGATCTTTCCTCCAGGCGCCCCTGCCCTCCCGGTCCACAGCGCGGGGGGCTGGCCCCGCTCCGCCCTGCGGGCTGCGTGGTCCCCAGACAGGCACTTGGCGAGGGCAGGGGCTCGGCCTGGCTGCTGGGAGGCTCTGGGGAGCGTTTGGCTCCTCCTCGACCACTTAAACCGCCGGGCCCCGGGAGGCTGCCGCGCCATCCATCGGCTTTTAAAAGCTCCCAGGGGGACTGGGACGTGCGGAGGGGTCAGGAGGCGCCGCGGTGATGAAATGCATGCTCGCAGAGAGACTTTCTCCTGGGGCTGAGTGCTTTCCTGAGCAGCTCAGGACGTGCAGCCAAAAACACGAGCCTCTGGCTGGGGACCGCTGGGGAGTGTGCGGGTGGCCGATGTCCTGTTTTTTTGGGGGGTGATCTCTCCCGGTTTGTGCCCCGAAGCCTTCCTCTTGGCTCCTCAGGAGGATGCGGGTCATGGGTCAGCCCCGCTCCAGGCCAGGCACTGACCGGTGGGGGAGGGGTCCTGCCCCAGGACCGCTCTCAGCGACTCCCCCGCTGCTCCCCTCCTTCTGGGCAGGTCAGTTCTATTCCATCCCGCACTACACCAGGTCCTCTCTGTCGCCTGGTGCCTGTCTTGGAGCTGTGCACACCCAGCCCCAGGGGTTCCTCAGGCTCCAGCCCAGCCCAAGGCTTTTTCCCCTTCACCCAGCTCCCTGGGTCCCGGCCCCCCTCTCTCTGAGTCCCCCCCGCACCTCTCTCCCTGGGTCCCTTCTCCCCCTCCCTGGGTCTCTGCTCTCCTCTCTAGGTCTCTGTGCCCCATCTTTGTCCCCCCATCTTTGTCCCCCTCTCTCCCTGGGTCAGTCTCCCCGTACCTCCTTGATGCATGTCTGAGCCCCATTTTCTCAGCTGGAGAATGGAGGATCCACCAATACATTGATAGTGGCTAACCTGGCATGGGACGGTCACCCCCCACCACTCCCAACTCTCTGCTCACTATTTATGCATACAAGAACGGGGGTACAGGCCAGAGGTGCAAGGGGTGAGAGGATCACCGGGACAGAGTGGGGAGCAGAACAAGCAGATCCACTGAGGGGAGCAGCGGGGAGCCAGGAGGGGTCTGCTGCACCCTGGGGCCCCTCCCTGGCCGGGATCAGACTCAGGCCACGGTGGCTCTGACATCTTCATAGTGCTAAGACAGCCTCTTGCGCCACGGGGGGCCCTGCCCACTATTTCCTAAACGCCTCCCCTGTCCCCCACCTCTAGGTCTTTGTGACCCGTGTGGCTCACCCCACACAGCTTCTTGGCTGCCAAGGTCATTCAGGCCTCTGTTCAAGACCACCTCCGAGCCTAAGAAAGCGCCCCTCGTCATTTGCTCTCCCTTAACCCCTTTTCCCTGTCGATCATTTATTTTAAATGTCTCTGCTGTGTCATTCTCTGTGTGCACCCCCCCGCCAGTGCCCCAGCCCAGGAAGTCCCCGAGCTCAGGTGTCCCCAAAGACCCTACTTCTAGCGCCCGGAGCCAGGGAGAGATGGAAAGGACTTAGGAGGGAGACTGCTGAATTAATGTCACTCATCAGATGACACCAAAGCAGGGAGGGCAGTGGGGGGTGGGGGGGGCAGGGGCGGGAAGACCAAGCACCAGGGGCGGCGAGGCCATGGCTGGAGGTGGCCTGCAGAGGCTGGAAACAGAAAGGAGGGGGCTCCCCGTCATGTCCCTGCGGCACCCAGGTAAGGCCAGAGGCCCAGCATGTCGAGACAAAGGCGCACTGTTTGAACCCCAAGTCCAGCCCCCGCCCCACGCAGAGGAGTGCACCCACACTACAGAGCAGCAAGTGCAGGCTGGTGAAGGCCACCCCGTCCCGTCCAGCAAGGCTGGCTCTGCCCCTGGAATAGAGGGGTGAGGAGTTGGAGACAGGCTGCAGGAAGAGGGGTCTGCACTCAGGCTGGCCGCGGGGGAGCGCTGGAGGAAGGGCCAGGCATGATGTGGGTGCTGCCTGGACCCACAGCGGGAGGGGAAGTCCGTACCCCACCTTGCCACCCTCCCTCGGCGCTGGCTGGAGGCCTCCTCTTCCTGCAGATCTTGTGGTCTCCAAGGGCCCAGAACATGGAGAGGGTGAGGAGGGCGAGGAGGGCGGGGCCCTGGAGCACAGCCTCTCAGCCGCCCCCTCTCCTGCCTGGGCTGTCCCCCCTTCTTTCCTCCATCTCCAAGCCAGGCTCCTCCTCGGCCCTCCTCTGCCTGGACCCACACCCCTGTCTCCTCCCGCCTCCACACCTGGCCCCAGAGAGCGTGCTCCGAGCTCCCAGCCGCCACCTCCCGGGGCTCCCCAGTGCCCTGCACACTCCCAGCCCTGCTCCGTGGCCCCCAAAGCCCCAACAGCACCTCACACAGCCCCCTTGGGCTGGCCCTGCTGGGCCTGCGACCTGGGCTCTCTGTGTCCACCTTCGCTGCTTTGACATCAGGGTCCAGGTCTGACCCCGCTGGGGCACCTGCACCAGCCACCCTGTGTGCTCCCACCTCCAGAGGAGGGACTCGCTGACCCCCTGAACCCGAGTTCCTGCCTCAGAGACGAGGAGAGCTGTGGTGTGGAGAGCGCACCATCCACCCCACCCCGCCCCGCCCACAGGAGACAGAAGCAAAGGGACCAAGGGGAAAGTGGCTCCCTCTGCATAGGGTTCCCCACCAACACGAACACAAGAACGGGGACCAGAGACCCGCGGCCAGCTGGCCTGGCCCCTAGTTTGAATCCCAGGCCTGACACCCTGATGAGCAGGGACCCCCAACCGGTAAGTCTCTATGGCAATGGGGACCTCCAGGATTAGTCTTCATGCTCAGCCAACAGGAACAGACTAGGCTAGAAGCTGCATCGGGGCGGGGGGGGGGGGTGTCAGGTGTCGGGGTGCGAAGTCTCCTGACAGCTATTTCCCGACGTTTGATGACAGTCTGTCTGTCTCCCACGGGCTGGGAACATCTCAACCCAGTCCAGATTAGGGGCTCCGCCTCCCCTCTCTCCTTGCCTGAGAGAAACAGAGGTAGTGATTAAGAGCGTAATTGCCTCCCTCCTGCCTGGGAGGTAAATATCTTCCTGTGGGATCCTTCAGGACTGTCTCCCCTAGGCTGCAACCTCCGCTGCATTCTTTTCAGACACGCGTGCCTCCCAGAGATGGCGGCGATTGGCCCTACCTTATGGGGTCAGAGTCTGTAGAGGAAGCTGGAGAAGGAATGGCTAAGTCCGCACAGCCCCCCAGGGGTGTTGGCCCCGCCCCTGGGACACCAGCCCCACCCCCTGGGATACTGGCCCCGCCCCGGGATGCCAGCCCCTCCCCCTGGGCGTTGGCCCCGCCCCTGGGACACCAGCCCCACCCCCTGGGATACTGGCCCCGCCCCAGGATGCCAGCCCCTCCCCCTGAGGTGTTGGCCCCGCCCCTGGGACATTAGTCCCGCCCCGGAACAACAGCCCCTCCCATCCGGGGAAGGAATCCTTGTCTTTTTCACCTTTCTCCGTCTAGTACCTAAAACCAAGGTGTTCAGCGGACAGTCAGTCCTTCCTAAGCGATTAGTGGGGGCAGACCAGTTTGAGTCCTACTGCTTAGTGCTGTGTGACCTTTGGTAAGTGACTTTACCTGTCTGAGCCTGCAGTTTTCCCCGTTTGTGCAAAGGACATAATCACAGTGCCCTAGTAGGAAAGGGACGCAGGACTCGTGTAAAAAGCTCTGGACAGGACCTGGAGCACCATCACCTGTAGGTGATCTTTATTAGCTTCTCCAGAAATCTTAGGGGGAAAAAACCCAGCCCCCATTTGGCAGGACACAATTCAAGGCTTAGGGCACCTTGCACACGGCTGCACGAGGCTAGAAGCAGGAAATCGACGTGCCAAGAAGTTGCTCGCGCTCACTGGTCCGTGCCAAGAAGTTGCTCGCGCTCCGGATCTCAAAGGGCACCTTAAGACCAGCATTGTTGGTCTCTCCCCAAGCAACGATCATGCTCTCCCCAGGAGAGTTCAGCAGCAGCCTCTAAAACCACAGTGTCTGCTGAAAGAATGCTTAACCGCATACATTAGAAAATCAATGCAAATTAAAAACCTCGGGATCCCACTATTCTCCTGGGGGAAGGCAGTGTGGCATCGCGGTTGCGTGGGCGGCGGAGCCGTGGGAACCAGCCATGCTGAGAGCTTGTGGTGGCGTCAGGAAGCTTTGAACACGCCCTCTGACCCCGCAAGTCCCCTAGGAGGAATCTATCCCAACAGATGATAGTACTGATAATAGCAAACACTTAACACTGCACCACCCGGTGTGCCCGAGGCTGCCAAGAAACTCGGGCCCTATTCTTCATTAACCCCTGACATCACTGGCAACTTCCGGAGCAGGTTATTGTTACCGTGGGGTTTCACAGGTGGAAATGGAGGCCCTGAGTAGCTTGACTGGCCCCATCCAGCTGTGCCGGCAGTCCCGCTGCTCTGCCTCCTGGGCGTATGAGCAGAGAACAGGACAAGTGTGGAGGGATGACAGGGGCCGATCAGTGTGCCATGTGCTTTCTTCTTTCTTGTAAATTTCTCCTGTAATACCTACTGATGCTTTCCATTATTAGCACATTTATTTTATTCATTTTCTAGCATCTTGAATTGATTTGTTTCGTTTTTTGTGGGCCTCCCTCCCTTCTCCAATGTTCATTTAAAGTTATAGATTTCCCTCAGAGAGCAGCTTTGGTCCCACCTCACAAGTTCTGATGCGTAGTGGCGCTTTGCTAAGTCAAGTGGCATTTCAGCTTCTTTCTCCCACTGAAATCAGGAGTTCCTTAGGAGGGGCTTTGAAATGTCCCAGAGACTCTATATTGTATTATCCTTTGTTATTAATATTGATAATATTCATCTCCTTATTAATTTTAAACATTGACTGTCTTCTGCCTTTGGGGATTAATCTGTACTGTTTTTACAAATGAATAGTTTTTTTGGGGGGGGCGGAGGCAGGGAAACATGGCAGGATCCATGTTTCTTTAATGCTACAAAGTTCATTACTGGGATATCCAGGAATTCTAAGGTAGGCTGTTTCCTAGGTAACGTCACTGTTACATTTCTTGAGAGTAGTAATAAATTTATGTCTGTGTCAGCCTTGTGCTTGGGCAACACAGATTAGAGTTGACAGGTGGGGGACTCCTGGTGGCACAAGGGATTAATGCACAGCACCATGAAGCTGTCACCAGCCTCTGCAGCACGAGTTCCACCCCTGGCCAGGGAGTGACCCACAGGGCGCAGCAGACCTCTCCTGTCTCCCCAGTGCTCCCCTCAGCAGTGCATCTCAGTTAATCCCTCTGTTCTGTTCCCCATTCTGTCTCTGGTAAATCCTCTCATCCCCCCACACCTCTGGCCTGCACCCCAGCTCTTGTAAAAATAAATGAATCTTTTTTATAAAAGAAGATAGTTTCCATTAAAAAAAATTGACAGCTGAGAGAGATACAGGTTAGGAGGAAAATTAGTTGAAAGCTGTATTATGCCAAGATACATTGTATAAATTTGCACCTGTAGGTGCTAAATGTTTTACTTGTTAAGAGAAAAAGGCCAGGCCAAAAGGGATTTCCGACAAGATTCCAGGTCCAAGCTATTTTCGGAGCCAATGGAGCGATGGGGGCGGCTGTGCAACAGCCCGCGAGCGTCCTGCCGTGTCCACGTCAGCCTTTATCTTGCTTGGCATGGGGGTTCTACTGAAGAGTTTTAAATTCCATAAATATCACCTAAGCAGACCGAAAGCAACCTCAGCGCTCCTGCACTGGGGATCAGAGAAAAAACCGTGACTGCTCATCCCGCTGAAGTCACCCTGGGTCCGCCGCACTGGACCCCAACATGGCCACCTCTTCTCTGCCCTGGAACTCACATGCGGCATCTCCAGACAGGCGCACACACGATGTGGGTTAAGGTGGGCGTATATTCGCTGTGAGCCAAAGATGCCAGTGTGCTGTGGGATCTGGAAGGACATGAGAAGAAATGACCGACCGCAGCCTCCGGTGACAGTGGGCGTGCAAGGTCTAACCGGCCCGGCAAGCTGGATTCCATTCAGTATGAAGAAGGAATTCGAGGGTTCAGGGCCCTCCCTGGTGGTGCAACAGGCTAAAGCGCAGCGCTGAGGAGCTGTCCACATGCACTTCAGTGCGAGTTCAACCCCGGCCAGGGAGGGACCCACAGGGCGCAGCAGGCCTCTCCTGTCTCCCCGCTGCCCCCTCAGCAGTGGATTTCAGTCAGTCAGCCTGTTCTGCCCCCCACTCTGTCTCTGGGGAATCCTCTCACCCCTGCACCTCTGGCTCGTACCCCAGTTCTGTATGCATAAACTAATCTTTTAAAAAGAAATTTGGGGGTCAATAATTAAAAGCATGGAACAGCTGGGATGGAAAAGGAGATGCCCGTATGTCCTGTTAATTATTTGAGCTTCCCTGGGTTTTTAAAGGGTGAGGGGAGACTTGGGGTGTCTTGGTTGGGGTGTCTTGGTTTGCCAAAACATCATTTGTCAAAACCCTAGAACTGCACCCTAAAAGAACAAATTTGACTGTATGCAAATTTTGCCTTAATTTAAAAAATACTTAGAGTAAATTTTTCCCTTTTTTGTCATATTAGGGATACGGATTTGACAACCTTAAAATTAAAAGCACTGTGTATAAAAAACAACTCACACTAAAATTACAAGTCAGGAAATAGACTTGGGGGAAAACTGTACCTCATGTGACAGAAATAGCACTAATAATCTTATCATGTAAAACGACAGACTCCAAGACAGTCAGATCCCAGTTGTCAAGAGGGTAAAAAAGAAAAACACAAAAAGAGGGTTCAAAAAGAGGGACTGTCATCTCAGGGCCTGAGCGTGGCGCTCCCGCCCCAAGTCACAGCCCTGAAGCCTCCATGCCGTCCATCTGCCTTGGAGCAAAACCGCTCCAGTCAATCGCCAGCTGGGAAGAAGCTCAGCGAGACTCGAGCTGGGGGCCACGCTGGGTAGATGCCGCTGTACATCGGCGCGTGTGTGAGCGGTAAAGGCAAGACTGTCTCTTCTTTGGGGAGATCCATGGCAGAAAGCTTCCTGGGCAAAGACGCCTCTTGCAGCACTACAGAGCAGGACACGTGGTAAAGGGTCACCCCTGGGATGGGGTAGAGAAGGAGTCGGTCTGAGCTTTCTTTTTGAAGCTTGAAAGCCAACAGCAGGATAAATGCTTCTGGAAATTTACTATATAAAGCCACAGGTAACGAATATTCAGCCCACTTGAATACACCATTTGGGATTTCTCCACTGGAAGAAGCAATTCTAAAATCTAGCCAGGAGGACAATTATCTTTTTTTCTTAAGATTTTAAAATTTTATTTATGCATAAACAGAGGTGCAGGGGTGAGGGGATTCTCCAGAGACAGAGTGGGGAGCAGAACAGGGCAGCGGGGAGACAGGAGAGGACTGCTGCGGCCTGGGGGTCACTCCCTGGCCAGGGATGGAACTCGTGTGGCAGGGGCTGCAGCAGCCTCACTGTGTTGAGGCTTCACCTGTGTGCCACCAGGGGACCCCAGAACAATGATCAACTTATCAGCTGCCCCAGGACTGCCCTTGGAGAAAGGAACCACTTTGACGAAGGACAGCGTAAAGCGACCACTTCTGGTCAACTATGAGAAACACATGTGGCCACATGTCCACCTCGAGGAACCCCCCAGGAGGGGTCCCTAACTGTCACTGCTGGAGGGGGCCACCTGGGTGCAGCAAGGCATCTGAAGCCTAGAAGAAAACCGTGCAGATGTACAGCTGCACGATTTCCTCCTGGTCTTTGACTTTCCACTTTTTCTCTAGGTTGTACATGATTGTCGATCTCTTTGCATTTCTCCTACTTTGAGTTCATGGACAAGGAGCTATACGTGGTGTACTGCATAATCCAGCAATTCCCTTCCTAGCACAGATCCAAGAAACAGGAACGCAATGTTGACAGAAAAAGACCCTTCAGAGCAGCGCCATTCAAAACAGCCAAAAGGTGGAAGCAACCCAAATATGGTCAGCTGATGCATTATAAAGAAAGCATGAGATAGCCACAATGCGGAATATTACTCAGCCGTTAAAAGGAACGAATACACGTTACCAGCTGGATGAAGAATCTGGAACACATAAGTGTGTGAAGGGAGTGAAGGGAGTCCGTCACCACCACCATGTATTAATATGATTTCATTCGTACAAAATAGACCCTACAGGCAAATCTACAGAGACAGAAAATAGATGCATTGGGGCCCTCCCCAATGGGTTAATCTGCAGCACTACGAAACTAGCCACAGCTGCTTCAGCACAAGTTCTATCCCCAGCCAGGGAGGTGACCCCCATGGGGCAGCAGACCTCTCCTTTCTCCCTACTGCCCCCCTCAGCAGTGTATTTCAGTCAGTCTGCCTGTTCTGCTCCCCACTCTGTCTCTGGTGAATCCTCTCACCGTCCCTGCCCTCTGGTCTGTACCCCATTTCTGTATGCATAAATAAATAAATCGTGCAAGGTTTCTTTTTAAGGTGGTTAAAATGTTCTAAAATTAACTGGCAGTGGCTCTACATGTCTAAATACAACAAAACCCCCTGCATATGCTTGAATTACGTGAACGATACTGGATTGAATGATATGTGAATCTCAATGAAACTGTTAAAATCTAAGTAGAAACTACGCAACTGTAATTATCTGTTAGGCACTGACTTCCATATCACACTTTACCACTCCCAAGAACATAGGATGTTTTGTTTTTATTCAGATTATCTGTGTATCCGTGTCTCGACATCTTACATTTTCTGGCCTTTTTTTTTTTTAATATTTATTTATTTACGCATACAAGAACTGGGATATAGGCCAGAGGTGCACAGATTCCCCAGAGATAGTGGGGAGCAGAACAGGCAGAGTGACTGAAATCCACTGCTGAGGGGAGCAGTGGGGAGACACTGGGGTCACTCCCTGGCGGAGGACTGAACTCACCCTGAACTGGCTGCGGCTGGCTTGCAGTGCTGTGTCCTAACCCGCTGAGCCACAGGGAGGGGCAGTTTGTTCATTCTATTGGCTTTCCTGGGTATGTAATTATATCATGCTCAAATAACGACAGCTTTCTCCCTTCCCTTCTAGTCTTGACACTTTATCTTACTTTGTTTGCTCAAGCATTAGGGTTACAGACTGCTCTCTGTGAAGCAATCCCAACAGTGAAAACATCCTGTAATTGTTCCTAAAAGGAAACCGTGCAGGGCCTCCCTGGTGGCTCAGGGGTCCAGTCTCGGCGCTATCAAGCTATCGCCAGCCACTGAGGTGAGTTCAATCCCCAGCCAGGGAGTGACCGACATGGCTAGTTGGGTCACTAGCAGGAGAGAGGCAGGAACTTGCCCTCCCTCCCCCAGGAATTTCCCAAGCCCAAGCTGCCCCTGCCATCTGGTCAGCTCACACAAACCAACTAGCTTTGAGGAGGAAAGACTTGCTGCATTGGGGGAGGAAGTTGGGGAGCCGAACATCTGAATGACATCAGGGAAAAGGCCTGAGGAGCCAGGAGCCATTCAGCTTCAAAGCGAGCTGAGCCTCGGACAATGGAAAAATGGCTTCACACAGAGCACGCCTCTCTGCCCTCTGCACCTCCCGGGCAAGCTCCCCCAAAAGGAGGGCATTCTCACCACCTGGATGCCAGGGGGTGCAGAGTCTGAACTCAACCACCAGGCAGACGCAAGCAAAGTGGGGCGTGTTGTTCTTTCAAAAGGTCTGGAAATGTTCCAGATTAAAAGAAGACATGAACACTCAGTACAATACCTGACGGCACACTGTGGAAGACCAAATTGACGCCATGACAGGCTGCAAGATGCTTCTGAACCAGCCAGGCCTAAGTTTCGGTTATCGACAAGGCGCCAAGGCCGAGTTGAACTGTAAATGTCCTCATCTTGCTCACCCCACAGCAACAGCCAATGAGCTCGTGACCAGTATAATTATGGAGCGCGCCAGATGTCCCAAGGTATGCAGCCAAGCAGTGAAGGTCACATCTTACACGCATAGACCAACCGGGTTAAGACAAGATAACTTTGCTCCATGTCCACCAATCAATGTACTGCTGAGCAAAAACTCCCCTCTGCTGGGCTGAAACTCCCCTTTTCTGTAATAAAAACCCTGTCTTCCCTGAGCTCGGGGCTCTCCACCTCGGCCTCTGTGTCGGGGCATGCTGGGAGCCCAGGCCGGAGCCTGCAATAAAGACCTTGTGTGCTGTGCATCAGAATAGGCTCCTTGGGGGTCTTTGGGAAACTCGAAATCTGGGTGACTGTTGTGGTTCTGTACAAACCTGGTGTACCTTGGGATCTGGGGCCTTAATATTGGTCACTTGGCCTTAAATGCCTCGGAAACTGTCTACTGAAAAATGAAAAGGAGGGCTGTAAAACTCTGTCCCACCATGTGGCTGTGGGCATGAATAAAGCCAGCTGCGAGGTTGGGCAGCACTGTCTCTCCAGGAGCAGTTATGTGAGCAACTGCTGATGTCTCACCAAGAGCAAAGAGCAGGCCTCTAAAGCCGCCCTCTAAAGCCGGACTTTGGGAAACTGCAAGCAGAGCCACAAGGGCAAAGTGTTCTACTCTTGCCTGGAGGCCACAGCCAGAAATCTTAATTTCCAGGCCCCGTGCAAATCCATAGTTTGTGGGTACAACATGACACGTTCATCTTAACGGTCCATCTCCAACTGTTCACAGTTCCTCCTGGGAGGTGGTCTCCATTGCAATGGGCCTGACTTTGGATTGTCCCTGGGTGGGTGGGTGGATGGATGGATGGATGTGTGGATGGGCAGATGGACGGACTGAGAGACGAAGGGGCAGACAGATCATGTTAATGCTAAAGCAGTAACAGACACGTCTGGGTAAAGCATCTACATACAAATACAAGATACAACTTGCATTTGTGCATATTATCTGTGATTATCACAATTAAAAAGCTGCAAGTGTGTGTTTTTATGAAGCTAAGTTCTTCTGGAAGCATGCTTAGTAAGCTCTCTCCAGGCCAAGACGGATTTTATATGTTGTATTCTGTATTCAGCAGGTTTTGAGAAGTGTTTCTTCCCATTGTCTATCTGTACTTTCTAATATTGTCTAAGGACTTATTTCACTTTAAAAAGCAGTTATGCTCCATCCGTGAAGACTCACCCACATTTTGAAAAACTCTTACATGAGAAATGCGAGCAAAGACAGAGTCTCAATCTCTGGGAATGTGAGCACCAGGCTTTGGATTTTCCTGCGCCTTAAAGCGCGGCCGGACTACATTTCCCAAAGTACCTCTGGGCAGGCCTGAAAGGTTTGAGCTCTGATTGGAAACTGACAACCTCTGACCCAAACCCAAAGGGCTGGCGCTGAAGCTTGCTGGGAAATGTAGGCGAACCCCACGTGGAGGAGGAGGTGGGGCTTACAAGAGGACTTTCGGGGGGCTGTTGGGAACTCCGTCTTGGAAGGCAGCGGTGAGCATGCTGCTCGGCCTCCTGGGATTTGTAGTGCGACCAGTCTGCGCAGCCAGTCGTTGAGTCCTGCAGCTGACTGCAGCCTCGCTGCTTCTTCCATAATTTAACAGTGACTCACAGCCCCTTCAGAGAGGTTTTCTCCTATGTGAGGTGCTACGGTGTAAGCCCAGGGCGCTCCCTGGAGTTACACCGGAGAGACCCCGGAGGGCTGCTTGGAGGAGGCAGGGTTCCCACTGGCAGACGTGACAAGGAATCTAACCAGAACACAGGGTGCAGGTGAGCTGAGGCATGACAGCCCGTTCAAGTGAACTCCAGCCCCATCTGCGCTCACAAATCTCCCTGTCAGAGAGATGGACGTTGGTCAGGCAGTGGCCCTTAGAGGGATGGGGGTTGAGGCAGGAAGCCTCTAGGGCCCCAGTGGATGCACCCTGTGAGAGCCCAGAGGTGCTTGAACCCTGTCGGGGGCTTACAGTCTTCCCAGCAAGCCCCTGCAAGATTCTTCCTTCATGCAGAGCACCCCAACACCACCCTACCCCTACCCCTCCGTGCCAGAGCATGCTGGGGACAGGGAGCCCTGCCCGGAGGGGCACCCCAGCATGGCTGACGCGGCTGGGTGAGGGGCCTTGCTCAGTTTGGCCAGTGGGCAAGTCACTATGGCGTGGGGACAGAGCTTAAGCCTTTTGGCTCTGTGCTCCAGTGACCCCCAATCTAACACTTACTCTCTGGCATGTGGAGCCCACGAGAGTGGCCCTGCTCTGCTGTCACCTCACCAGCCCTCCAGGTCCCCAACATCCTGCATCCCCGGACCAGAAACAAGCTCAGAATGGAAGCATTTTGAGTAAGGCCTGTGCCAGGATCAAGCCTATCTGACCACGAGCCACATCCCAGCCCGTCTGCCCTTCTGTACTTTCCACTGGGTTAGTGAGGCTGAAAAATGGCCCTCGCAGGAGGGCGAACTGCCTGGTCCCTCCGCCTGGCACAGCCTGAAGGCAAGTGGTGCCACCCAAGGGGGAGGGGCAGAGCTGTAAGGGCAGCTCACACTCCAGCTCCTGGAATCCCGGTGAGGGGCAGGGCTGGGCCCCTGCACTGGGGAGACCCTGAGCTGATTCCATTTCTAGTGTCCAAGACCACAGGACTGTCCACATGGCACCGGGCTGGCAGGGAATAAAGGAATGAAAGATGATGGGGAAGGGAAGGGAGCTCAAGGCCCACTTTCTGGGCACCCTGGGGAAGCCCAGAGCCACACGTGCTAAGGGTGACGGTGCTCACCTGCAGATGTGGAAACAGACTCAGGTGGGGTAAGGGGCTGCACGTGGCCTCAGGCAGGGAGCAGGCCATGGGGAGGGGGCCTAAGCTTCCAGGCTTTGCAGGTGGGGTGGGCCTGGGCTGGGGGCAGCCTGGTGCTTCAGAAACTGCCAACGAAACTGTTAGGGGTCTTTCTTGCAAGGCTTGTCAGAGCCTTCTGCTCCTTCGTGTGTGCTGCCCCCCCTCTTAGACCAAGGCCAAAGCCCAGAAGGATGACCCCAGGCCCTGGGTCCCAGGGGCTGAGAGCTGAGGCCCCATGGGGGTGGAGCCGCCCTCCGCCTGTGCAAGCTCGGGGCTTCTGTGAGCAGGCGGTGATGGCCGTGTGGACACACATCTACCTGTGTGCCCATGACCAGGGATACCTGTACAGGTGGACAGCGCTGTCCAATAGACGCGAGAAAGGCCGAAAGTGCGGCCAATGTTCGCTCAAGTCAGGTTCCAGAAGGCTTTATTGGCGCGGGCCCATGCCCGGTGCCCACCACTGCCAGGACAAACAAG